CTCTTGGCCCCTTCTTGCCACATTCCCACCTCCCTGCTTCTTTGGTATTTATTTTAGAAGGGAGCCCCCTCAGAATGAAGAAGACTCATGGCTTTGTTTTTATGTTAGAATTAGTGTATTGGATTTACTTCTTTTCAAAAGAAAGGAAAGAAAAACTGAAGGAAGGAAGGCAAGGAAAGGAAAGTGTTTAAAATTTTAGAAATGATAGCAAGGAATATCCCATCTCCCTTCCTGGGGCTCCCCCCCTCCCTTTAGAAAGATCCTTTGACTTTCTCTAGGAACCTAATGGAAACCTAAAGGAGATGTGGGTCTCTGCCATCCCCACCCCCCTTTCCAGAGGGTAGATAGGAGCCTGCAGTGGCAGCTAAAATTCTACCTAGCCATCCATGGTCATTCAGGCCCATGCCTCCCTCCCCTCACTGTCTGATTTCTGTTGTTGGGCCTAGCTTCCCCTGAGCTGCATTAGTGTTAGCGCTCAGAAATCACCATAATCATGAAAATAGTAATACTGATAATAGTAATACTGATAAATCTTTAACATACTACCTAAAGGGAACCTGCAATAATCTTGAAAAATAAAACAAGAGAAATTTTTAGAAATCCTAGTATGGGAGAAAAAAAAGAGAAAAAATTAAAATAAAATAAAAAAAACCCTCCAACGTATTTTATCACTACCTATAGAAAGAAATCCTGCTTTGAGAGTATTCGTAATGCGGTTTTGTTGTCGTTTGTTGCTGCTTATTTCACTAAGAAAACCCAACAACTGAGACTGCCTAGCTCGCCGGTCCTGTGCGCTTTTATTGTGCTTCTAACCCCAGTAGAGTAGAACTAAATTGCACTGAATGTATAGTTAACTCTGTCTTGAATTCTCTGTTTATGCAATGTGCTCGAAAGAAAAAAACGTTAAAATATATCTATAATAATAATTTTTGGTCATTTGTCTTTATGTCCAGCTATGAATGTAGATTTTGTGTCCCGGCAGCCCTGTTCCTGGTCCAAGTACTTTGTATTGTATACGTGAGTCATAATAAAAAAGGGGGGGGAGAAAAATATTTGAATCTGGAATGACTTGTTTTTTATTTCCAAACCCCTTCCCCATTCTTTTCCCCCATTCCCCTCCTTAACTTTCTTTCCCAACACTCTAAAAAAAGGTCTCCTCTATTGACCTGGGTGGGGGGACTCCTGGAGTTGAGAGAGCAGGCTGGGCTGGGAGGGCAGGTGAAAAGGGGGAGGTGAAGAGGAAGAAGAAGAGCAGGGCGATATGCTCTTAGGAGAACATTGGCTCCAAACAGAGTGGGTTTCTGGATGCCAGGATCCCGATGGGGAGTAAACCCCCTCCATTTATTCACCTTCCTCCTCCTCAGCCCTGGGCTGGGCCCAGACAAAGAATCTGCCCCCATGCCCTTCCCTGAAGCTAGGCCCCCTGGGGCTGGGGCTGAGGATGAGGCTTTGGGGTTCTTTTGGATCTCCACGTGCCCCTCATGGACAATCCTGGGCAGCCAGCACTCAGCACTAGAACACTAAACAGGATGGAGAAAATATGAAGCTCAAGGCGGCCTGGAGGACTTAGCTGGAAGATGCCTAAGGGTAGGGGATAAGGAAGCTTAAGACTGGGAGAAAGGAGAGGAGAGGGGGCGGTGAGTGAGCTGCTACACTAGGCAGTGTGGGTTCACAATCTGACATTTAAATGCAGCCTGTACAGAGCCATCACTGTCACCTAACCCACTTGCATCTACTCCAGCCTCTGTTCTAGTTGTTTCAAGCTGAGTCCCAGCTTCACCTTGGCATTTGGGCAGTCTGCCCTGTCCTCATAGTGCAGGCCATTGGCCTGGGGAGAAGGGACAGGCCCTCAGAGTGGACATTCCCTCCATCCCAGCCACAGTAGGGTAAGGAGAGTCTTCATTGGATTCCTTATTCCCCAAAATAAAGGGTCGAAGGCTAAGGGACTTAGGGAGCAAAGGGGTCTCTCACTCCTCTCTGGAGGGTCCTAGAAAGAGAAATTTGTTTATGCCAGTAAGATTCTGGTCGAATAATACCAAATTCCAAAGATACAAGTCATCTGGCTCAGTCAGGAGAGGGGGAAAGGGGAGGGGATGAGATCTTCTGGTCTTAAAAACCAGATCCCCAAAGACTGAAATATTTTTGAGGCCAGATTCTCTCTCTCTCTCTCTCTCTCTCTCTCTCTCTCTCTCTCTCTCTGTGATTTTTCTCAGACTTAGGCCCAGGCCAATTCTTGTTTTGTGTAATTTCACCCGAGTCTGAGAAGCTGGGTCCTGGCTCCCACGAAAAGTGGTCCTGAAAACAGGGTTGGGTTGCGCACTGTGGATAGGGAACTACTGCAGCCCGAGAGAGGATGCCGTTTGGAAGCACAGGCTGGAGGCAGCCGGGAACAGCTTTGAGTGGTTCTGGGGGAGTCTTTCAGAACCTGGGGTCCCTATGCAGGGCCGTGGAACCAGCCAGGTAACCCCGTTTGCTGCGGGAGATACCGGCTACCCGCCGGGAAGGTCCTAAAAGACAGCATTTAGCTCCCACCTCAGGCCTTCCCACTCGCAGCGCATCCCCTCCACACTCCGAGGGCTGGCGGAGGGCCGTTTCATTTTTAAATGTGGAATTATAAATGCTATTAATAAAAATCGCGGACTCAGTAGCCAAATGGGTTGAACCCTACACTAAGTTGTTCCAAAGGACCTCGCCGAATTTTCCTCACACCAAACGTCCCACTCGTCCCTGGCCCTGCTCAGCAATGCCCGTGGCCCCAAGCCCGGCGTCGGAGGGCGGGGTGCATCTGGCGCCGGGTATCGCTTGAGATGTGGCCCAGACCAAGAGAGCTCCAGCCGCCCCCTCTTGCAGCACCCATTCCCCCACCCCTTCTGCCCACCGCCTCCGTTTTCTCGTTTGTAGTGAAAAGGAGGTAAAACCCGTTTTATGGGGGAACTTAATTGCGAGCGGGATGCGCTCTTTTTAGAACCGCGTCTTCCAAACGCTCCCGCCGTCCCATTAAGGGAATGGGGACCATTCGGTTTCAGCAGACAGAACTCTCTCCCATTCTTTACTTTTTTATTAGCCAATCAAAGTGGCTTCCGAAAGCTATTTGTGATTTGTGAAAAATAGTATCTTTCAAAATGCTGAGTTGAAGCATCTCCCTCATTTCGCCTTGAATTTATTATTCTAATCTCAACCGTAAAGACGGGATAATGCAGCTATTAAATTGGGGGGCAAATTCGTTTCTTTGGATTAAAAAAAATCGTGGCATTTTCTCTCTCTCCCATTTCATTGCTGAAGCCAGAGGAGGTGCAGGCCTACAGGGAATGGGGATGGGGGGCGGTGAAGGAGATAGTGAGTGTCTTAAAAGGCTCCTTGGCAGACCCCCTAGGATGGGAGAGTGGATTGGCTTCTCCAGGATCACCTTCTCCATGTGAATGCCCCCAGCGACTAGGAGCTGACTGGAGAAAGTTACCCTGCCCCAATTAGAGCAAACTCGGGACAGGTTGTGCCACAGACAAGAAGTAAAATTTCCGGCGAGCTGCCCGCAGTGCTGTCCCATTCCCCCCGCGGCCCATTGTGAAAAGCTGGGCCAGCGCTTCCTTGTCGTAATTTTTAACTACCTGTTATAAAATTTATGGGTGGGTTTGTAAAAGAAACGAGGTCCCTGCATCCGGCTGAGGGAACTGCTTCACTTATGTGGAGGAAGTTTGGGGAGGGGATGAGGGACCCCTGTTGGTTGGGATAGGGCACCCAGACCTGGACATCCCCATGCCAGCTCCATGTGGGATCAAGGAGAGAGCTTTGGGCCTTCAAATCTCCAGCTGGTGGGAAGAGTGACTGGGCGTTGACTGGTTGGCAAATTATCTCTATGGGGACTTTATTCTGGACTCCCTCATTGCCAAAATGTGGAGTCTGGAGAAGGGTAGGGGGTGCCTCGGGTGTTCAGAATTTAGTATGGAAAGTGGAATTTAGGGAGGAATAAGGTTCTGTTTTCCATGCCTTCAAAGTGTGTCTCAGCTGCCTGGATACCAGAATTTTTCTGTAAAAGGCAGGCAGGTGTGGGCCACCCGACAAGACAGAAAAGGCTTCAAACTGCCGTGCACCTAAAAGAAAAAGAAGTGGGAACCAAGATCTTGGGCCTTAATTTTATTTTTTTATTCTAAAAGATTGGGAGTAAACTGCCATCTAAACCTTGGAATTGAGGAGACTGGAAAATAAGGGCAGTCTTGAGGGGAATGTAATTTTCTCTGAAAAAGGAACCTGGGGATGAGGGGTGCTTTGGGGGTTCTGGAGGCTGCCTCCAACTCTCACTCCTTCTACTGTCTCTTCAGGACTGCCCATGGCCAGTCTAAGCCCTCTCCACTCTGCAGACCACGGTCAGGTCCGACTTGCTTATGAGGCTTCCAGCGGCCTGCCCCTCCCATTCCGATCTGGGGTGCAGTGGGGGAGCTGCCCAGACACCCCACTGGGGAGAATGTTTTTCACTTACCAGAAAAAAAATGGCAGGGTTAAGGAGTGCATTCCTTCTCAGTCCCTTCACCCTGCCAGCCCTCATTGCCCCAATGCCATAAACCTTTGCAAAGCTTTGGTTCCCCCAGATCCAACCTTAATAATCCATTTATTAAGGAAAATATTTAAAATTTGGCATGGCAAAGGGAAGCAGCCGACTCAGCGCCAGAATCCTTCCTGCCCTTCTTCCCTCCTCTCGCATCCTCCTTGGCCCTTTCTGAGCTAGCCGGGAGCTGCCCGGCCCTTGGGGAGTGGGCGGTGGGTGGGGGTGCGTTGGGAGTCGGGGGATGCTCCCTCTCCGAGAGAATTGGGTAAACATGGCGACCGAGGCGCCCATTTGCACACGCTACACAAATGCATCGCATTCCCGGTTGTTTGCAGAAAATTTACAGCTGAGTAATAAAAGTTTACGATCGACTCACAAGTTGGATTGGCCACAAGAAGTCATGTGGATTCCATCCATGAACGTGAACTTTTTATTGTGGTTTGTCCGTTCGGAGCGCTCAGCAGAACAGTCCTCCTGTAAGAGCCTAACCATTGCCAGGGAAACCTGCGCTGGGCTCTCCCTTCATTACCAGTATATTTTTTTTTATTAATCTGATTAATAATTATTTTCTCTCCCCTCCAATTTAATTTTTTTCTCCCAGGTGGAGTTGCCGGAAGCTGGGGGCACCAGGGGAGGGGGGAGGGGGAGAGGCAGGAGTTGAGGGCACGTCTCTCTCCCTTCCAGACCCTCTAGCCCCCCAAGGGGAGGAGGAATGCGGGAGCAGGAGTTGAGATAGGGAGCTGCAGATGCCTCCCCTCTCCCCTCTCCCAGGCTCTCCCTCCTGTCCCCTTCTTGCAACTCTCCTTAATTTTATTTGGCTTTTTAATTATTGGAAATATTCTTTTTATTTTTAAATTTATATAAAGTGTGTGTGTGTGTGGAGCTGAGACAGGCTCGGCAGCGGCACAGAATGAGGGAAGACGAGAAAGAGAGAGTGGGAGAGAGAGAGAGAGGCAGAGAGAGAGGGAGAGGGAGAGTGACAGCAGCGCACGGTAAGTGTTTCCTTATTGGTTCAAATATGTAACTAATGGTCCGTAGCTGGGTGGCGGTTTCAAGATAAGGACTGCAGCGGCTGGTCTTGGTTAGAGAGAAGAGGGGGCTGGCGAGGGGGTGGGCGCGTGGGCAGTTATGGGGAGAAAATGTGAGGGGGGAGAAATTGGGTTAAACTGTAATATTAGGTAGTGGGGGAAGTGTGGTGTCCTGATGTCACTGTGCGTCGAAGTTGAGGTGGAGGGGGGAGCGACAAGAGAACTGCGGCTGTGGGGCTCAAGGCCGAGGTCTAGTGCGCTGACTGGCTGCCTGGTGCTCACCGTGTCCTTACCTGTTATTTAGATTTGCAGCCTCTTGGCTAATGGGACTGGGACGGAGGGGGCCCAGAAACTCAAACTCCAGGGCAGGAGAAAGAACCCGTAAGCTTTAACCCTTGCCCCTTGAGCAAAGTGGGCCCCCCAACCCCCAAACAAACTTTCCAGTGCCCCCTCCCTGCTCTGCAGTCCCCTCCCTCCCGGAGAGCGCGACTGCTAGAGCTTGCACATGCGCAGTGCGGAACCAAGGCCGGGCCGCCGAGCAGGATGCAAGTGCGGCTTGGCGGGCGGTGGGGCCTGTTAATTGGCAATTAGGGGGGAGGTTGGTGGCTGGTGCGCATCAGCGGAGGGGAGAGCGTCCGCCCACCCCCTGCTCTGGCTCTCCTTAGAGCGGATGGGAAGATGGGAGGTGCTCTGCACTGCGGGTGGATGGGTGGGGGTGGGGGTGGGGGTGAGGGACTCGGTACTCGTCTTGTGCTTGGAGAAAAGGGGCCTGTTTCCTCTGCCCCGGTGTGGCGTCCCCCACCCCCCAACATCGGCCACCCCACCCAGAATACACATTGGACTGCTTAACCCACCTCGGCCTGGCTGCTCTGGGCTAGGATCAGCCCTGTCTTTGGCGGAGGTGGGAATTAGGGAGGCCCCAGGCTGGGTGGAGACAGGCCCAGGCCTCGCTGGCTGGTGGGGCCTCCTGGGTGAGTGGAGGCAGTGAGAACTCCAGGCGTGGCTGGCCCATGGGGTAGGGACGTCAGAATTGGGCGGCGTGGAGAGTTTTGGGGCGCCCAGGCTCTTCCTAATAATTGGTGCTAATGGCGTGTTGTATAGTCTTAACCCGACACATATGGTTTCATAACACAGTGGCTTAATTTCTTCCAAATGTACGTGGCCCTGAATGTGTTGCAATTTGATATATGACCCCGCCCTGCTCCCTGGCCTGGGTCCGAGGCGGCCCCTATGTGTGTGAGCTTCTGTTTATAAAGGGCGACGCATACGCAAACGCCTACCTACCTAGGCAGACACACCCCAGAGCTGGGAAAGGGGGCGCATATACCTTGAGAGGGCCTTGAGTCTGGGGGCCAGACTCACCTTCAGTCCGAGTCAGGAGCCGCCCCCCCACCCCTACCCATCCTCTCCCAGAGGCGCGACTGGGCTTCTGCGCCAAGCTCGAGTGGGGGAGGGGATCTCTCCTCGATTTCCTGTTTAAACCCTGACCCGTCGCCTGGGGGTTGGGTAGGGGGGAGAGAGAACCTGTTTTTATCAAATTCTTAAAAATATAGTTCGACTGCTTTCAAATCAAACCCCTTGGGCTCCAGTTAACGGTGAATCTTCCCTCCCCTCCCCCCACAATCCCCTTCCCTTCCTCTCCTGCCCCCCCAAAATTCCCCTTTCGCAGACGACATAAAGGCCTCTGAGGTATTCTCCCGGGGGAAGAAATGGCATTTTCTCTCCCCCTTCCCTCCACCCCCCCAATAGGACTTGTGTGTCGGCAGAGGCGTCTGCCGAGGGGCTAATTTCGCGTTCCTTGTTTACGATCGAGAAAAGCGCTTGGCTCTCCCCAAATGGGCCCAGCCCGCCGCCTGCTCCGGCTGCCGCGCGCTCTCCCGCCGCTCCAGCGCGGCCCAGGGGCTGCCGGCCCAGGAGCCAGGCCGTGGCCACCAAGATCCCGAATCTGTGGGACCTGAAAAGGGCAAAGGGAGGACAGTGGGCCAGTGGAGGGGCCCCGGAGGCCTGAAAATGGGAGCCTTTCTCCTGGCGTAATGTGGGAACCGCCGACCGGTGAGGCCTCTATTTCTCTCTTTCGCCTATATTTTGTCTGCCCCCGCCTCTGCAGATGGCCATACTCGGGCGGGGTGGGGTGGGGGGTTTACAAATCTCCTTTGTTTGCCCCTGGTAAAACAGTTTCTGAAGAAGGCCGCTGGGGCCAGTGGGATTCACCTGGGATATTAGAGGGCCCCCTCCCTTCGGAGGGGTGGGCCTGGGCAAGGCGGGGGCTTTTCTTTAGGACTACTGGGTGATCTAACCGAATGTGCTGTTGTCGACATTTCAGGGTGTTAGGGTTTGTGGTTGACCGGTTAACAGCACCATCCTGAGATGTCCCTGTATAATATTTTTATCAATTGATTTTCTGTCTCTTCCTGGCTAGGGTCCTGTAGGCACCCAATCCCTTCACCCCTAGCTAGACTCCTCATGGGACAGAAGGATGCAGAGAACGTACAGCAGCAGTGACTAACCCTGGTTTTCCAGTTTTCTAGTCTGGCCAGGGCATAAACCCGGTCCCAAACACCAGCCCTCTCCTTCCCTCCTTACTTTCGATTTTCATTCCTTTCCTTCTTTCCCTCTCTGGCGCTCAAACAGAAGCACAAGAGGGGCTACCACTGGCAACTCTCAGCCACCTTGCAGGCCAAATCCCCTGTAGACATGGCCCTTAGTGCAGGAGAGCACTGTGGTGATTGTCTAATAATAGCCAAGGCTGCTGAGAATAGAATCTGGCTCAAGGACTCTGCACACCAAGGGCTAGGGGCTGGGCAGAGGCACTGAATCTGTGGATCAGCATCTGGCAATGCTCCCTGGAACTCAAGCCCCCAGTGTTCAGCTCTGAGCCCACTCTTTGGGCACCTCAGCCCTGCCTCTTACAGGCTTTGTCAGCCCTGGCATGGGCTGTATTTCATGCGCCAGTTCCTAGCGAGGAAGAAATGGGCACAGCAAACCCTTTCCCTGGTTTGACAGTTGTGATCCTCATGAAGAATGCGACCTTGTTTGGAGAAGGCAGCCTTGTTGGGTTGGCTGTTGTGTTCCAAAACCAGGCTTGGTAGCTTTATGCAGGCTCAAATGTACAGACTTTTGCATGAATATGTACAGACTCATATTCCCTCATTGGTTAATTGTATATTACCATGTCTATATCCTATTTGCTCAAATATCATTTTATGTGCATGCAAAATTTTGTTAGTCCTCACTGGATGGGCATGGACTCAAGGAGGCACTGGTTGCACCAAGAAGGCTCTCTGTGTATGCTCTACTGAAATGGGTGTGTGGTGGAATCGGAGTATGCGGGTTCCAGTAAACAACGGATACTACAAAGGCTTTCTAAGACCTTAATACATTTGCTGTCCCAGCAGCTGGGCTGGGGAAATACTGATCTCTTCTGCTTTCTCTCCATGCCTCCCCCCAAACTTCCCCAACTCAGAAACTATTTTACCAGGGGAACCCAGCTGTGTTGAAAGTGAGTTCTGTGGGAAATTCTTTTGTGGGTTTTGTGGGCCTTGGAGCAGTGGGTTGGGCCCTCATGCGTGAAGCCTCGCTGGGGCAGTGAAGTTGATACGAGGTCTCTGAGTAGTGGTCTGGAGGGGGCTGTGGGCTAGGGTACTTGATGAGGCCTGTGGAGAAGGTGTCAAAATGGGTAGGGGTGCAGTGAACGTCTATTCTCTAGCCTTGCTCACTCAGTTCCTCTACAGGGCCCAAGGTTTGCGGGCCTTGTAGAGTGTGGGGCAGGTTAGGGGTTCTCTAAGTTCTCCAAATACTGAGATCTGGTTACTAATGGGACTTTGTTTTAATCCTGTCTGCTACCTAAGCTGGGGAGAAGGCTGATGGGGCAGTGCCAGAGGAGAAGCTGGGTCTGGCCGCCTGTGGGCCTGGAGCATTGAGTGTGGGCCAGGGCAGGCAAATAACCAGCCTCCTTCCCTAGCCTTTCTCCCTTCTGGAGCCACAAAAAGACCTAGAGCAAGGGGGAAATATAAAGGTCCTTGAAAAAACCCATAAAAGAAAGTAAGGATAGGAGAGGGGCTGGCGACATTTTCCCCTACTCCTAGGCGATCAGGTTCTTCCCAAGACTATCCTGTCCGGACATGCTTGTGGGTGCTGAGGCATGCAGCCTTCTTCCACCTTCTCTCCGCTGGCACCAAGAATGGCCTTGGGCTTTCAGGCCTCAGGCTCCCCTGGGTGCTGATGTGCCAGTTACCCCCAAATTGTGCCCCTCCCCTGGCCCACAGCCTCTGCCACTGTTGTACAGCTGCCCCTGTTTATTGTGTCTGTGAGTTGTTTACTTGTTTTGTCTGCTGCCACCCTGCGTCTGAAACCCGCCAAACCAGAAAACTCACCCTGGAGAACAAAGTGCAGCGCTATCCTGAACTCCCTCCCCTTTCCAGCACCCGGTTCCAGCCCTTACCTCCTTCCTCACTCTCTTTCCGAAGGGAGGAAGCAGAAATTGTTCTGAAATAGGGCAGCTGTTTATAGGGTTGAGGGAATTATGGGGACACCATAAACCTCCAGTGTCCTGATGGTGGAGAGACTTTGAACAGCCCTCCCCTTGCCTCCAGCTTTTCTTCCTTCCCCCTGGCAACTGCTTGGTTAAGGGGACCACAATCACTGAGAAAGTTGAGCCCCCCTCATCCCTCTCCCCAACTCCTTTCTGCAGGAGTTTTCCCCATGACACAGGTTGTTGGGTTTTAAATCAGGGTAATGTTGGCAGATTCGTAAAGCTAGATAAAGCATGTCGTTCACCCTCCCTTTCCTCAGCCCCCCAAAATAGCAGTGAATTTAAGCAAGTCCTACAAAATTAAATTGCCCCTTCGCTAAAGATCCTATAAATTTCCAATCCCGCCAGGTGTAGAGTCGGAGAGGCCGCTGTTCGCCTCTAATTTTGCTCCTGGCTATCAAATCTAAAAGAGTATCATCGAAGTAAGTAATAT